ACGCTTCTGAGATCTTCAGTATCATGCGACTACAGCGCCGCCGCTACTGTCACCCGCCAGAGAATCAGCCGAGATGCGGCGCGGCCACCTCGTAAACTGCACTGCCCTCTTCTAGTACACTGTAACGGTGCCATGAACAACCTAAAGTCATCCATGTCGTGCGCCTCAAGCCACTTCATGCACGAACCTGAGGACTGTATTTTTGTTGTTGCTGAGTTTAATGCTTGTATCACACTCGCAATGCAAATTTTGCAAGCTCGCGGGGAAGGGCAAGAAACCGTAGCACATGAAGTACAGCTGACTCCACCTTTGGCACTCATTGCACTTGCGCCACAACACTTCCCCCAGCGCCTATGATAGCACTCCGCTGAGCGCCGTTACCTGCTCTCCATGTTATTTGTAACAGTGGCCGCGCCTGTACAAAGTGCAAAGTGCACGGTAAAACTGTTGACAAGTCTTGTACGAGATGAGGGACTGAGCGTCAAATGTGAATACAGTAGACTCTTGTTAAATGAAACCTGAAGGGACCAGAAAAGTGTGGGCCGCTTAACAGGAGTTCCACTTATTGAGAAATGGACATGACTGAAGAATTCAAGTAAGAAACTAATCATGCTAGAAGAAGTTGTTCTATTCGGGCAGCAGTAGAGGAAGTTGTTTCGTTCGGGGAAATGTCACGGACCTGTATTATATTCTATTCTGCATGTCTCCTTGTTACAATGCATTAAAAAATATATAGATGAGTTTGGTGCCTCTAAATTCCAGACTCAGTCTGGCGTCAACGTCGTTGTGTTTTTAAAGCTCCTTAGGTTTTACCTTCAGTCGACGTACATCTTATGGGATGAAAAACCTCACCGTCAAAAAGCCGGTATCTGTATTGGTTCTGGCATCGCTCGCATCGTACCTGTTCATGGGCAAATTAGACAGATCCATATCAGATGTTCTTGCTAACACTAATGTGACGCACCTTTCCAGATACATAGATAATTTTTAATATTTATGGACACCGATGTTACATCATATAAGACTGACGCTATTGCCGTTTTAGACCTGATTCGAAGTGGTTTCAAACATTTTGAGCTTACCCATGAACTTTCTGAGAATTGTGAAATCAGGTTCCTTGACGTTAAGCTATTCCTAAATAATGGCCGCACTTGCTGGTTGTATCAACCGCCTGGAAATAAACCTGTTTTGCCATTTCGCTCCACGCATTCTAAATTAGTTCAGCGAGGTATGGCAAAATCTTGCTTCATGAATGTCTAGCGAAAATCCTGTGTGCACAAAAGTACTGAAAGCTTTGTTGAGCAATTTTCAAGGCTGACGTCGGCTAGTTACCCCAAAAATGAGCAAGTTTGGATATCTGAAGGCCTTTTGCGTGAACTTCAGGTAAATGAGAACGATAACGTATTGCAACCTGTCACAGCTAGACAAGCTTTTGCCGTGGTTCCATATATACACAAGATAGCGCTCAATCTTGAGAAAGTAGCACAGCGAGCTAATGTGAAGGTGGTCCTTAAAGCCCCTCAAAAATTGAGTCGCCTGTGCAAACTGTCCGTTCCTTTGTCCAAACCCAAACTCGATTGCACTACAAAACATGCAAATAAATTTATAGATTGTATCTGTAATGTGGTGTACCAGCTGCTGTTATTGCGTGGAAGATATTATGTCGGTCAAACAGGTCATTGTATAAATTAAATGCTGAAGAAAGACATGTACAGTACGGTCTACTGTTATAGGGAACACGGAAACGCACAGCCCGCCTGGCACGATCCGGTGGCGAAATTTGTAAATGTGGCACACGCGCACTAAAGCCCAAGAGTGGCGCTTCCCAATAGCGGCGCACGTCCCATTTCATCTGCTACTTTCTGCCCCTGCGCTTGCCGAGCGCTTTCGTTTTTCCACGGAACGATTCATGTCACTGCTGGTCTGCCGAAGCCCTTGTCAGGTAGTCGGCAGGCAAACAAAAGGTCCAGCTTGTTTCTTGCTGTGGTATATCACCAGTTTCGAAACGATGCGACTCGTAACCACAGCGGTAGAATTTCGATTAAAGGTGATATATAACGAAAAGCCATGATTATATTTAGAAGCATGTTAATAAACACTTAGTAATAAATAAATGTTGCAATTTAAAATGGCAGAACAGCCGTCCGTTTATGAGCAACGCAGTGGAAGGCTCCAGAAATTTCAACAACGTAGTGGTTGCAATCAAAGTACACAAGCGTTAAATATTCCCGCCTTCATCGATAATGCGGCTGTCGCAGCCGGGATTCAATCCCGCGGCCTCAGGCCAGTTTTCGAGTACCATAACCCCTATACCATCGTGGTGAGTTAAGAAAATACTTGAGGATGAAATCTCTTCGAAGGATCAATACAGCGTGATCCTTATGTTCTGGTTCTGGCTTGCGACATCCAGGCAAATATTATTGTTCACATTCTAAATCGTGTGAGACGATTAAAGGAGCACCATCTGAAGAAGCTCCATATTTCGAATTGCGATAACATGCACTTTTATGATATGTACGGCGCTTCCCTATTATGTGCGCGCATGAGAAATGAAGTGCATAAAACACAAAAGAGAAAATTTATTCGTCATAATTTTGCGACAAAAGATGGAGCAGGCCAGATCTACGGCCTCTAAACATTAGAAGAATGAAAAAGCTTTGTTCAGTATCGGCTGATGTCACCGCCAGCGTCAAGTATAGCCTTCATCCTTGCAGGCCGAGACATGTACAGAGCTACCATGACAGCTGAATCGCACTTAAGCCAGCTCCCACTTTTCGTTTATGGAAACCCAAAGGACATCCATAAATTTGACGCGGAGAGTTTGCCGAGAGAGAGATGATTTCATTCTGTCCCACACAATTTCAATTAAGTTCAAGTCAGGTGACGGGAGTGGAGGAGGAAGGGGCAGGGGCACATAAGCACTGTTGTGGTCTTCATTGGTCTGTTTACCACGGCAGCGACAGCACGCTGATTGTATTCTTTAGTGTAGAGCTCAACTATGAGAAGCCTTTCATCCTCAGGTGGCCTGGCCATGCTACATATAAAAGCTGGCACCCCTGAAAATTTGTTCAGCGAAGAATTGTGCCCTCAGCTGTGGAATTGTGTGAAAGCGATAACGAAGTCCATCACTTGCGTAACCTATAGTGTCAATGCTCACACAAATGATTGATTGATTGATATGTGGGGTTTAACGTCCCAAAACCACCATATGATTATGAGAGACGCCGTAGTGGAGGGCTCCGGAAATTTCGACCACCTGGGGTTCTTTAACGTGCACCCAAATCTGAAATGCTCACACAAATGTTAGTCGTGATTTGCACGACTAACAACCGGCTGCCTTTGATAACAGACAAGAATATTGGTGCTTCATGCAACGAGCACAAGCAGCTCCTTCCAATAACTGAAACAAAGCACGGCGTTAGCACCTGCAGTGCGCTAGGGCGGTGAAGTAGCAGACGATGCAGGGCACGAAGCACTCTCCCAATTCTGTGCACATGCTCCGCGTTTCCAAATCTTGCCAGCAGTTGGTGCCCTGTGGACCGCTGGCCACGCGCGTCTTCCCCCTAACAGTGGATCGTACTGTAAAACGTGGGTCATTATAATCAAGGATGGCTGTCCGTTCACTGCAGCACGTGTGGCTGCCGGCCAGTGTTTTCAGATTGTACTATTGTTGCAACATGGAGGGATCGCACCATACGTGACATCATAGAGGCAGAAAAGATATGCTCATTAAAAGATGCTTGTGTTAGCACCCCTTCTGTCGCACTCACCGATAAAAAAAAGTTGTTTCTTTGCTTGCAGGTGTGATGCACTTGTGTTTCGCGCACTGACTGGTGCAACTGGTAACTGCATAAAAGTGAAGACTTTCGCAAGAAGTAAATTGTTGGCAGTTCAGCACTCTGTCTCGCCTCTTCTATCCCCTCTTTATCATTTTATACTAACATGCCCAATTCTACTGTCTCTTATCCTTTCAAAAGAATTCTATTTACTGAGAGTCTACTGCATATCGAATAGCACATGCACTTCGGCCCCTTTGCAATATAGAGGTGAATACACCCATGTTTCTTTCGAAGCATTGAGCCTACAGGTTGGGGCATGGTCCTCAAAGCGACTTTCCTACATCAGCCAGTTACCGGTGTTCCTGAAGTCTATCAGTACCAGTGCGTGAAGGTAGATGCCAAACCATTTCGGGCTACAGTACTTTGGTAGATGTAGTAGGCACCATGACTAAGCTACACGTCTGTGTTTGACCACTTCTGAAAACATGTAGTGTTAGTTCGCAGAGACCGATAAACAAGCCATAGCCGGAGAAGACAACAATGAGACAGCTGGCTGATGCTGCACCTAAACAACTGTTCTTAATTTAACCTGACGGAAATCCTTGGCCTTGACAGCCAAATGGGAGCATGAAATAGTAGCAACCTCTAAAGAAAGTTTGGGTTCTCTGTGAAGTGCTAATGTAATCTCGCTTTGCTCAAGTGTCTCAGCAGGCAACTTTGCCTTCGCTATATTTCGTTGCCTGCCATACTGAAATGCATGCACAGATAGTCAGGCCGATGTACCATGCGTGGCGAGATACTGACGAAAAGCCAGAGAAGCAGTCCTTAAGGCACCTAAACGACCTACAGATCAAAATTTAGTAGCAATGTAGCAGTTGTGCACGAGCCTGCAGCGAATGCTAGAGGAGATATGCACAGTTGATAATCAGAATATGTTGTTTTGCTCTTCACTTCACTCAAGCCATCGACTTGCCTCTTCACTGTGCAAGAAGAAACAACAGGGAGCATGAGCATCTGCCCGCAGACAAACAGGCTCGCCCACTCAGCAGCCTCTGTTGCTCATGACATCATCTAATCAAACAAAGAAAAGCATGCGAGCATCTGTTGGGGCCACTTGGTGCTGGAACGGCAAGGCTCCAAGCAAATGCATCTGCAGCGCCTCTCCCATCAAATGCCACAAAGAGCACTGCGACATTATGAATGACCATGGTGTGCACGTACCTGGGAGGGCTGGCTGCCTCTTCTTGCTGTGATGAGGTTTCCATAGAGGGTGTGGCCACCAGGGAGCCCTCAGCACTAGTAACCGGAGCAAACATCAGTGGGGCATCTTCGATATGCAGTGGCTGCAGCTGACCAAGCACCAGCTGGGAGCCACCACCCACCAGGGCCTCCCCAAGCAGCACAGGTTGGCCATCCTCCTGCATCAAAACTTATGTAAGAAGCTTTTCCTGAAACAAGGCTTCCAAGCAATGAGTGCCAGAGCAACAAGACGCAGGTATTTGGGCAACTTGGCTGAGATTCATTGTTGGGCTGTGACTCGTGCCACATGAATGTCCGAGACTGCCAATACTGCAAAGAACATGTCACAGTAACTCTGATGCAAAAAATAGTAAGACACATGCAAGCGACCAATAGTACACAATCTGCAAAAACGGTAAGTGCACATGCGAGCTGCATTATGAAAGAAAAAAATGCAAGAAAAAATGAACACAAAGCTGATTCCAACATAGCATAAGTGCTGAGCACTACGCAATAGCAACATACTTGCTTGCATGTGATTCTGAGTGAAGTCTATTAAATGTTTCAGTTACTATTCCTTTCTCCTAAATTACCTTACGCTGGTGAAGAAAACAAAGGTGGCAACACTAAACAGGGTCAATGCGGCACTTTCACTTGGCTGAAGTTTCTTGATGGTGGCGTTAGATCACACTGCTTTATCGAAGGCGAATGGGCACTGGCCGCCTCATCATCACCATCGACAAAAAGGATTCCACAGACAGGAAAAAAAAAAAAGAAAATAGCTGTGCTGTCAGTGCAAACATTAATCTTCGGTGAGCCACATCAGATTTATTTCATGTTGCAGAACCTGTCAAGCGGGGCCAAAGTTAAAGAACATAACTGCTCACGTGTAGCAGGCTTCTACAAAAGATGAAAGCACTTATGCGCTGAACTGCTGCTCTGGTACAGGCAACTCCTTGACAGTTTTCGCGGTAAGTCTGCATTGTGACTTGTGTTGCCAATTCCGTGTATCATTGTCCTGTGAAAAGCTGAATAAGCATGTCGTCCACTTGACTGCCAAATGAAGCTCAGCCTGGAGTGGTGTATCTTAAGATAAGGCCAATCGTAGTTTCTATTGTAATAGGAGTGCTCCTTTCTTTCCGTACACCGATCCATGTCATTAGGTTTCTAATAAATAAAACCGTGTGCTACGGAACACTTGCTTGTTCGTGTTAGCAGTACTTGATATTCAAAGCAGGTATATGCATGCACACTACGCATGTGCAAGCTTTCATACAGGGTGGTGGAACCCCGCCCTGTCCCCAAGAAATGAGAGCTGTACGACCATGGTGAAAGTATTAACCAATATAACAAACTCATGATAATGATTAGCCGAGTTTTGTGGCTCAAGGGCAATGGGGGGCCAAAGAGCGCCATGACTTTGATGCGATGTAAGCAGTGACCAATGATTGCGATGACAGGGTATGTTACGGCTGTATAAACGCCTAAAATCACGTGGTGTATAGAAGCGTAAAATGTGTGTATAAAGTAAACAATTATGACAGTGATACGTGATTCGGTGTATGGGTATAGAATGAATTAGAAGTGATCATGGTATCTACAAGTGAGTTATTGTAGAATAGCACGAATGCCTCTTTAACCCCTTTGAAACCAAAGGGTGAGAGGCAGGTGCTTATCAGAGTTGAGCTATGAGACACTGTTCAAAAGGCTGCACACCTGTTATCTCGGCTAGGCCCCTCACGCGAAGTGAGTAAGGCTGCCTCATCGAGGGGTGGTTTCCAAAAAGTGTAGAACTAGAAAAATCATTAATTATGGAATGCATAGGGTGTTTCTTACTGCTGATCACTTTCAGATAATACATAAAAGACATGTAGGACCTCTGCAGGCAGAGTGACCACTCATTCGGCTCAGCATAAAAGCTCTCTGCAAGGCTCCTTCGATAGACACCTGTAGAGGCGGATGCCCAGATGATGAACAGGATCTAGAATCTTCAATGCGCTTGGCGAGGCTGAATGATATACTATTGCCCCATAGTCAAGACATGAACGTACCAGGCCTTTGTACAGATTCATGAGGAACTTTCTGTCGCTGCCCCAGGATTTGTGCGACACTACCTTCAGGATATTCATTGTTTTCATGCATTTATTTTTGAAGTGTTCAATGTGTGGTACAAATGTTAGTTTCGTGTCCAAGATTATACCTAGGAACTTATGTTCTGTGCTTACGTGCAGACGTTCATCTTTCATGACAATCTGAGGATCAGGGCGTAAGCCTCTTTTTCATGCGAACAGGACACATGTGCTTTTTTGTGGGTTGACTTTGAACCCATTTTCATCAGCCCATTTGGACACTTTGTTTAGAGCAAGCTGGACCTGTGGCTCACAGATGCCGAGGAAACATGATTTAAAAGCCATTTGGATGTCGTCTACACATCCGGAGTAAAATATGTTGTGGGGGATGTACAGACGGGAAGAGTTCATTTTTATAACAAAGAGCGTGCAGCTCAGTACCCTACCTTGTGGTACTCCAGTTTCCTGTACAAATGTCCGGGACAAGACATCGCCCACTCGAACCCAAAATATGCGATCAGACAGGTAACTTTCCATGATATTGGAAATATTGCTACGTAGCTGACATATCAGGGGTCAGAAGACGACGAGGAAGTAGTCTGTCGGTTGTGCGTGCTGTCCTCCATCTTAGTCGACGCCATATGCATCAGTTTGAATATAGACTTTAAATAGACACGCCTCGTGTCATTTTTACGTAACATCTTTGTGGTGGACGTGCTGGGTACTTCCCCGTCTTCATCACGAAGCTCCGCAATGGCCGCATGATCCCGGTGTATTTTCCGGTCAGGATGGCATTGACGTCGACAAATGGATCAACCGGTACGAACAGGTCAGTGCAAGCTATAGGTGGGACCCGACTCTTATGCTTGCCAATGTGTTTTTTTATCCCGATGGCCCACCGCGAGTGTGGTTCGAGACGCACGGAGCGGAGATTACAAACTGGGATTCCTTTAAAGAGAAGATCCGCGACCTTTTTGGCGACACCATTGGGCGGCAGATCGCAGGCGGAATCAACTGGCGGCTCATGCCCAGACGTGGACGGAGTCGTATATCGCATACATTCACGACGTCATCGCCCTATGCCGCCAGATTGACGAGCACATGAGTAAGTCTGAGAAAGTGGCCCATGTGCTGAAAGGCATAGCAGACGACGCATTTATATTTTAGTTTACAACAACGTTGCCACGGTCAACGCCATCATTAAAGAGTGCCAGCGGTTCGAAAAAGCCAAGAGCCGTCGTATTACTCAGCGATTCACCCGGCTGCCCAACACGGCCGCAACCTCATCGTGTGAAGCCGCCCGCCAGTCCCCCACGTATGACAACGTCACACGCATTGTTCGTCAGGAAATCGAAGCCGCCTGTCAGGCTCCTCTTCAGCCACCCGTTCTCGCAACGCTCGCCTCTAACCAACAACAGCCATCAGTGGCGTTAATACAAGCTGTGGTGAGGCAGGAGTTTGCGAACCTCGGCCTTCCATTAGCATGTCCCTTGACTCGCCCTGAAGTCCCGTCTTACTCCCGAAGACACGCTCGTCGTTCACCTCCAACAATGCCCTTCCGTAACCCTTCGGAATGGCGAACACCCGACGACCGGCCTATTTGTTTTTCCTGCCACCAGCCTGGGCACGTTTCTCGCTATTGCCGCCGCCGTAGGTCAAACCAACCACGTCAGACTTTGTCTACCTCGGCGCTCATGGATCCGACGACCCCTCGACGTTCAGTCGCCGCACCTTTCAATTTCTATTCGTCATCATCTTACGAGCCTTCCACTGACGCCCCATTGCCCGGTCGCCGCTACCCTGACGCCCCTTCGTCCAGTCGCCGCAGCTCTCGCTCTCCGTCGCCAATCCCGCTCTCCGCCACCTCGGCACTTTTCCTCGCCGAGCTTCTCTGGACGACCGCAGCAGGAAAACTAGATATTGCAGCTTATAGAGATGAAGCTGAAATACCAATGACGGCTGAAAATCCTGTACTGACGCTTCCCACGCACCATAGCCTGCTTGAAGTACAAGTCGACCATGTTCCTGTGACTGCCCTCATTGACACAGGTGCGCACCTGTCTATTATGAGCGCTTCTCTACGCTGCCGCTTGCAAAAGATTACGACGCTATCTACGACGCAGGCAATACGTGTTGCCGATGGCGATACTGTACAGTAATCGGAATTTGCACTGCTCGTGTCAGCATTGCCGGTCGTCACGCCGTGGTCCTTTTTGCCGTGCTAGCCTGCTGCCCTCATGACCTCATACTTGGCCTTGATTTCCTTTCGGCACACTCGGCCTTGATTGATTGTTCGTCTGGTACTGTCAGCCTTGATCTTCCAATCTTTGCCGACTACTCTGCAAAGCCCACCAGCCGCTTGAGCTGAACCACTTTCGCCTGCCACCTCGAGCCGTCACTGTACATGTCTTTGTCATCGACCCCTCCCGTTCCTGGCGGTGATTATATCGTTACGCCAATTGCTGACGTTCAGCTGATGCGCAGTGTTACTGTACCCTATACCATCGCGACCATAGCGGATAACTGTGTGTTACTTCCGCTCCTTAACTTTGGTTTCACCCTTCAAGTGTTGCCCTGCCAGATGTCTCTAGCCCAGCTAAATGCCATAACAGAGGACGATGTCAATGTTGTCGCTGTATCTGCCCCTGATCGAAGCGCAGTCTCACGGTCACCCAGCTCAGACGATGCTATTTTTCGAAACATGATTGGATCGGAGCTTTCGCCTCACCAGGCCGACGCTCTCACCCAGGTTTTGGCCTTACACAGCGAGATTTTCGACACTGACGATCGTCCTTTGCTCCGGAATGAAATTGTCACTCACGGAATTAACACTGGTGACTCTGCGCCCATTCACCGTCGGCCGTACCGCGCGTCAGCGTCCGAGTGAGAAGTGATTCAAAAGAACTGACCATAATGTTTACGAAAAACGTAATCGAACCATCAACGAGTTCTTGGGCATCTCCCGTGGTTTTAGTGAAAAAAAAAAGACAGCTCATGGCGTTTCTGCGTTGATTATTGCCACCTCAACAAAATTACCAAAAAAGACATGTACCCTCTATCACGCATTGACGATGCCCTCCATTGCCTCCATGGTACCACCTTCTTTTCAT